TAACCCGATCAAGTCGGTGACTCACCCCGCAGCCATCCCCCTCTGCTCTACGTTTGCAATTTCAAGAGAGATATAGTCAAGTTTGCCAAGACTTGAATCGTGGCGGAATCGAATTATGGCAAAAATTTCATCCTAATGTTCCTCAAGAACAAGATGCGCCTCAATTTCTTCCTCATGCAGGACTATCTTCATTTCAAGGCTACGCTTCTGGAAGGAGATGAACATTTTCACGGACACAAAGGACAGTCCAAAATTCCCCTTGACGATCTCAAAGAAGAACCAAAACTTAACGGTCTCTAGTCCATGACGCGCTCTTATCTAAACCGCAGAATCAGCGCATCCAGTTCATATTGCCTATACAAAATCGCTTTCCCCCAAAACACAAAATTAAATTCGATTAAAAAGATCAACCATCTTTTTTGCCATCGAAAAGCTTCTGAAAGACTTCTTTACTGAGAAAACTTCTTACCTAAACGAGCTTTCACCTAATGCTCTCAGAATATTTCAGATGTCAGGGATTTAGCCACAGGTCGTAAAATTGCAACCTACCCTACCGTTGTAAAAATGTAGGGGACAGCATCCATTAAAGGACTGTGCAAAAACTCTGGACATCCCCTCCACGTGCGCGAATTATTCTGGCAAGCACACGGCCAATTTCTTTAAATTCCTGCGTTGAGTGAATATCTTGCTGCTCGCAATAGGCACAACCTGCCACCGCCACCACCACCAGCCCTCTCTACTGCTCATATGTACCAGCATCTACGTCGATGGGTGCTAGTGCGAGGCCTCGACCCTTGAACAGCTTTGTGCTGTCGGGGTCACGCTCATGATCATTTAACACAGTACATCAACATATTTGATCTGTGACCTTGCTCTTAGCACTATTGCACAAAGTTAAAGAGTACCCGGACTAAATCCAAGCAATTCAAGGCATTCTTACATATCATCCAGATTCTTATTTAAAATGGCTTTATCACCAATCTTTCTCTTCTGGAACGCGGGCTCTGTCACGAAGAAACGAGACGAACTAATTGTGGATCTGCAAAAATACAATATACATGTTGTCATCGTTACCGAAACCTGGCTTGTTCGAAAGATCTCTTTTAGTATCTCTGGATACAAAATCTTTCGGGGGCACCGGATTCGCGGCTCTAGAGAAGTAGTGGCCTTCGTCGTGCATGCGTCTGTTACGTGCAGGTAGGTCACTTTTGCATGCACGGCCGGGTTTAACGCCACCTTCGTACATATTTCCGCTCTTTTTTTGTACGTAGGCGACGTATATAATCCTTCTAGCAGCGAGCTATCTGACGCAGATCTTGATGCTATCACTGGCATTGGTCACCCGTTCGTAGTTGAGGGTGACTTCAACACAAGGCATTCCGGTTGGAACAACTTCATGGCAAACAAAAATGGCAAAGTTCTCTTCCAGCACGCCCTCCGCAGTCCACATAGGACAGTTCACTCTCAAAATTTCACATTCTTGGGGCGATATGGACAAAACCCATCGACGCTAGATATATTTCTTGTCAATTCTCACAGAGCTTTTGGATGAATTTGTCACCAGTCACAGCCCAATGCTTTCAAAAACTTCTACTAATACGTTGCACCCCCCTGAGTGGAAGCGTATTACTGATTGGAAAGACTTCAATAAAGTCTCTAAAAATTTTCACTTTACTTACAAACTTCTCCACCAAAGAGAAAATCGATACCCCTGCATAAATAGCAACTATGCGCCGTATTGAGGACTTGCCTTTGCAAGACCACCATATATTTCCCCACCAAGTAAGGGGTTGAATTACACAGCGACCCCTCAATTATGGGGTATATCCACACGAGGCGTAGGGCACGGAAAGCCTGGCAGAGCACGAGGATCTTTTATTTCCTGAGGTTATCAGGCATCTTACAGGGGAAGTCAATCACAGAGTTAGGGCTATGAAAAGGGATGCATGCAAGAAACGGATCACATCGTTAAACAAACCAGATCCAATCTTTTGGAGGAATTACAAACTCCTCGCTAACTGCAAAGGTCCTATTCCTCCCCTTAGGATTGGCACAGCAATTGTCCCCCTAACCCCAGGAGGTTCAAGTGGAAAACTTCATCGCTGACCTTTGTATAGAGGATCCCAGACTACTCTTTGAACTTTACATCTCGTTGCAAGCCATCCATAAAACTATCGAAAATCTTAAAGCAAAAATGGCATCTCTTTCATAATCAAGGCTGCGTCTGTCATGCCTTCAGCTTTATTACATATTCCGAGCTTCAATAATTCTCTCACATTCCCAAAATGATTGGAAAATAGCCAAGGTTATCCCTGTTCGCAAGCCAGGGAATCCGCGATGTGAAGTCAGCAGTTACAGACTAATCAGTTTTGCCCATTATGGGAAAAATCTTTGAGCGTTGCTTGTACTGTCGAATTGTCGAGCATCTCAGAGAGCATAATACTCTCATAAATCAGCAATTCAGGTTCAGAGCGCGCCATTCCACGGTGCATCGGCTGATAGGAGTAGTGCAGAAGATTACTCATCAGGTCAACGTTCACAGGTACACGACCATGGTCTTGCATGATCTCTCGAATGTGTTTGATTCCGCGTGGACAGACCCCGACAGTCAAGTTAACTCGTCATGGCCTCCCCACAATCTTTCTTAAATTAATCTGTTCATATCTGACAAACTGAAAAATCTTTGTTACCATAAATGGCACCAAATCTCTCAATATCTCATTTCTCCAAGTCTTGGACCGGTGAGATCTTCATTTCAAACCTGGGATCGATACTTTCTAAATTATAGGACAAGTGCACGCTGACCCTGTATGCGAATGATACGGCCCTAATAACCTCTTCATAGAAACCCAAGGAGCTCGTCACAAAGCTTCAATCCCAACTCGACGTCGTTTTTGAGTATTTCTCATTGTGGAAGTTAGCTGTACATCCTGGGAAAACCGAGGCTATTGTAATCCACTAATGCAAGGCATCTTTCACTGAAATAAATAAGACAGTTGGCCATTCCATGGTCTAAGGAAGTCAGGTACCTAAAACTGGTCTTTGACATTAAGCTCACCTGGGCCACTGTCGTCGAGGACAGGGAACCGAAAACCTTACATTTGCCCTGTCCTACAGTTAAAGAGAGATTCACGTATTCTGATTTACAAAATCTTTATTCACTCTGTCCTGACGTGTGGAGCCCAGCTCTGGGGAACTTAAGTCGAGACTGGGGCTTGTACGAGTCTCTCAAAATCGAATACTAAAGATAATCACTGGAAAACGTGTCTACTAGTTCTCTGTGGTTGACCAGATCGTCATTCAGGTTTTGTTATACTTTGCACGTGGTGTGCCGACGAGGTACTACACGAACGACCAGTTTCTTGGTTAAACACGAAGTACTATTGACAATTTTGTTTACAGGATATGTATAGTAAGGCGATACTCTGGTCTAGGTGAAGTACTAGGTGAGTTTCTTTTCTAAATATATCTCTCGACGGTTTAAATGTACAAGTATCTTTAGCGATGGTCCAAAAGTATCTGACGAAGCTTCTAATGGTATCTCCAGCGAAGGTTCAAAAGTATCTCTCCGCAATCTCTTCGACACAAAGACTCCGGTTGTGTTTTGAACAGCCTGATTAGCTTTTTACAATTTTCTCAACCACCGATCAATTTTCCCTGGTGCATTGAGATCTTCTCCCATTTCGCCCTTGACGTGCAATCTTCAGGGTTCACAATGACCGGAAAAAGTGTTCGTTGGACGGATGTGTGGGAATCTCGTGAAATCTACGGGAGGCCTGGATTTTATCACCGTAAAGTGGTCCACTGACGAAGCCATAGGTTCAGAGCTACTTTTAATTTGGCCATTTAGAGACTCCAGGATTTATGGAATGCCTAGTCCTAGCGTCTAGATTTGCAGGCAACGCAATAAACAGCTATTATTTATCCGAAACGAAAATAGTTGCCTGTAACGCGTAACCACTTGAGACGATGCCATAAATCCGGCTACAGAATGCGCCTAACAGTGTTCCACGACCTCTATCCACTCCGAAACGGGAGTAGAACTCATCCAAGATTACCTCCACCGTAGTGCAGCAACGTGTAACATCCAGGCTCGTGAAAATCCGTGAAACGTACGATTTAAATAAAATTCCCTACGAAATGAAGGCAAACCTCCCACTAACGCTTAGAGAGGATTCGTTTACAAACCCGTAAGTAATTTTAAAAAAACTTATGATTACCTAAACACTTCTGTAAATTTCCAAACTTCTCAAAAGTTATATTACCACGTTACACTCAAGCCTGGAGCCCCATCCTGTTTGCAACCTGGTGAGCATCAAGCTAATGGGGTCTTTTGCAACTTTCCCCCTGTAATCAAACTAATGTTCTCTTTACTACTTTAGGTTGGTAACGCCAGCTCCATACACTTCCGTTCCGTTCGTTGAGAGGGCGCAAGTTCTCAAGCACAGAAAATAACTCGGAGAAGAAAGAAGAAAAAAGCTGCAGTGACGCTGTCTACTCCTTTAACCCACTTTCGTAGCTCCTCCTGGCTGCTGTTTCCACTACCTGCTTCGGGAGGTCTTTGTGGCGTTTCGTTTTTGGTTTGTTGAGTCTTTTGTAAAATCGCGGGAACGCGATGAAAAGAGATTGCCGCGAGTTTTAGGGATCGTGGAGCATTGGAATATCATTGAAAGACAAATGACAAGTTTCACGAAGTAGCGTGCTATTTGATCGTTAGTTTCGTGAAATATAACTCCTTGCAGAAAATTTGTAAATTTAGGGACGAAGAGACAGAAATGAATAATTTAATTTTTTGGAGATAATTTTTAGAGGAAACTGGAAAGCAACAAATATTTTTTAAATCGTGAAATACCCACGAAGGGATTAAGTTTTGCATACAGTGTAATTACTATTTTCATTTTTCTCCTTCGTTTTATTTCAGCTTCTTTGCTGCACGCTTTTTTAATTTTTCTAAGCACAAGGACAGAATCCAGGCCTCCAAGCTAAAACCATTTATGTACTTATTTACACTTCTACTTTCCATGCTCCTTTGAATCTTTCTTTCCCATTTTCAATCTCTTGTGACTTCAAGCAGTTTTAATTTACAAAAAACAATCCTGAAACTCCTACTATTTAACTTCAATCATTCACAATTATTCTAAGTACCAATTATGAAAATTTGCAATATTCTTAAGTTTTTTAAAATTTGAAAATCAAAATTCAACTTAGTTGATTCACAAATAATACACCGTTAAATCATTTTTAAGCTTCAAAGCCTTGTAAATAAGTAAACGTGCATCGAATAAACTTCCAGACGCTCGAGCCTGCTAAGAAAAATAATTGATCAACAGGCCTATTTTAGTTCCCCAATGGTGAGAGAAAGAGAGAGAGAGAGAGAGAGAAAAAACAGAGAAAGGGGAGGTGGCTATAGAATTTTCGGGTCGCGAAACACTGTGTGGTATTCCAGACGACCTACATTTCCAACCAATTGTGCGCATTTCGCGGGGTTCCTACGGTCACTCGCGTAATCCAGCCAGCAGGCTGCACGGAAAATAACATTCTCCATTAATCGACATTCGAAGCCCTTTACATGATTATTCAGATCGCGGATAGACATTGGTCCGTCAAACTTCCTCCCGTAATTAGCTTTACTTAACTATCATAAATGTCTCTACATGCTCACTGACGAGTGGACGATTTAAATCGCAAAATAAAAATTTACATATTCGCAAGTGTAAATATTTATTGAACTAAAAGAATCGAAATGAACATAAATGTTCTTTGATTATATATCACATTAATTGATGTGGAAATGCAAATTACTCCTTCATAATTGCGGTGCAATTGTAGGTTTTTGGTATAGAAGTAGTATTGATGAATTTTGTTATTTCATGAGACTATATGTATTTTTATTCTAATTGAATATTGTTTCTTTTTTGAATATTGTTAAAGTTCAGAAAACTGATCTTTGTAAAATTGATTCGAATGTACTATTGTATTTTTGCAACAATTGTACCCGGTGCTGTAGTCGTAAAATCAGCAGAAGGTATACGGTATGTGGAATAAAAATTTTTGAAGATTTCTAAAGGTATATAAAAATATTTTTTTATTTGAACTATGTATAGTTATAGAAATCCAATCCAAATTCAATCAAAACCATAAAATTCATTAAAAACCTAGGAGTATTCTTAGGAACAAGATGCCTAAATACCATAGTTGGTTTATTTAAATAACCATACAAAATAAACCCTAATCATAAAGATAAAGATAAAATCAAGTTAATAGAAATATGTCTAGTAACAGTAAAAACATAAGGCAATAAACCAAACAAATTTAATAATATAATATAAAATAATAAACTAACGAAAACAATAATATTAGGTTGATACTTATTAGAAACTAATAAATTAAACTCATTATAAATCAATTTAACCAAAATTATTAAAATAATTCTAATACGAGAATAAATAAATCAATAAAATATAAAAGTCAAAATAAAAGGTAAATATTTAAAAGCAAATTGAAACAATGTAAAATATTTATGTGAATATTCAAAAATTTAATGTCTCAAAATTTTTCAAATTTTCAATAAGCTATTTGCTCAGATCGAACCACAGGGTATACGCCGTATACCCTCCACTACAGCCCTGATTGTACCTGTGTTGCATGTAATTGTATAAATTCTTAAGAATTTTTTAGAAAATTCGAAAATTTTATACATAAATTCTGTTTCACTGATTCGTTTATAAGAATGAATTATAATGTAAGCACACTGTTACTGAAACTTCAATTAGTACTGCGTTCTATACCGGGTGTCCCAGTTTTTTCCAATCAAACTTTATCAGTATCTTCTATGGGTATAAGTAAGGGAAAAGAAAAATACATAAACATAACTTCTTTGAAGCTTCGTTAAAAAGTTATAACAAAAATATGAAATAAGAAAGGAATGGTAAAGAACTTGCGGTTACTATGATACAAAACAAGAATGGCACTGGCAGAAGTTACATTCAACACTTTCAGCGTCACATATCACAGCTTACATAAACAGACTAGATGTAGATATCGCTGATCTATTCCTATTTTGTACCAGAACCGCACATTCGTATTATTGTTATAACTTTTTAATAAGTCATCGAACGAACTATGTCTATGTAACATTTTTTCTCTTATATATACCTACCCATCGAACATACTGACAAAGTTTTATCAGAAAAAACTGGGACACCCTGTATATGTTATAATGTATATACGAGAATACACGAATCCGTAAATAACATGTAATACGAATTTTGTTTAATAAATGAAGATGTACGACGTATAAAGTGTTAGTCTCTGACCAATCAACATTTACAAATTACGGTCAATTAAAGTTTCTCATACCAGTTACATGAGAATGGTATACTTACGACTACGGGCTAAGGTAAAGGTATCAGTAGTTGACCAATTTTTAGAGAAGCGTAAAAGATAAGGTTTTTATAAGTGATACACTTTTGAAAAAAATGCACCCGACATGCCAAGACCATCTATCGGTTAAATTTCAAAAGAATTACATGTGACGAGAAGTGTGCGTAGTAACAACGGACGTCTAAATCCATTAAGGTAAGTAATATGCCTCTACATTGCTATTTCCTTAACGTTTCTGTTAAGAACAGCTGTACGGTTCAGGCAAACAAATCCATACGTTGCGAACTCTTCGTGACTGAATTATTTACTTTTTACGTTCTCACAGCGTTTTATAAGTGATAAATGCAACATTTTTGTTATTCTAACCACAACAAGCAATAGTTTATTGGGGGGGTCAAATTCTGAATCTTGCTATTCTAATAGTTTTTAGAAGTTGACAGTCAGTCAGTTGACGGTCAATTATTGACGTGAGTCATTTAAATTTGTTTACGATTTATAATGTATCCATTTTGTATTTAACTTTGTTAGAAGTACAAAATATAGTTCAAAATTTTGTAGCATACTGCGGTTTAGTGGATGACCGCATGGTCAACTATTGACTGATCCACGGTCAATTATTGACTCCGTCCAGTGTCGACTTTTTTAAAATAACCATGTGTGTGATATTATAAACACCACCGGAAAATTAAAATGCATTTACTTAATTATTTATTTTAGAAATTTCCATGGAAATGT